GGAACTCGTGATACCCTTTGTATTAAGTGACATTGATAATATAAGCTGCGCTACTTGGTTCTTATCTCCTCTCAATCGGGTTTTGTGTGAGATCACTTTGTACGAGCTGTGAACAGTCAAGTTCCTTGCAATTCTGGTATCGGAGCAGATACTTGTTGTACTCACTGCGCTGGAATGAGTAAGGCCGGCGAGAAGGAGAAGAGACCATTGGCTTGTTGATTATGCTGGCGATAGTGGAAGAAGAGGTGGATAGGGATATGGAAGAGGAGTAGGCCGAAGAGGAAGGGGCAGAAGAGATACTTACCTGGAGCGTGGAGTGCGGAGCGACGAGGAGTCTTCATCGACGATCGCTGCAAAAGAGAGAAGCACCCTTTACCCCTTACCTGGCTGCATGTGGGTGTGTACCTCTACTCCTTATCCTCTCTGGGGTCGCTGCTGCTGCTGTCAAATCGGGTCACAGGGTCTGTAGTCTGGATGGTTGGGGTCAAAGGATCTTGTCACGTCCGGGTCCAGAGTGATCAGAGTCCTTCTATCTCCTACCCTCTAGTCTGAAGTTTGTGCTGTAGTCAAGATAGGAGCACGTTGGGAGGTGGTGGCAGTTTGCCACATCAGACTACAAGCAAGATACAGGATCTAATTAAACTGGGCAGAAGATAAGTGTGATTGAAGTGTTGCCCAACTATCTGATCGAGTAATCACTCCAATGCCTACCTGCGCAAGAGGACAAACAGACAGAATTAGTACAAGGAGATAAAAGAAAGTAAAAGAGTTCCCAACCAGACAACAAACAGGAGATATCAGGTGGACCTTTGGCCTGTAGTATTTGTTCTTATCAGTTCGATATCTGAATCTGAAAGCAGGCAGCAAGTAAAAAAAAAAAAAAAAAAAAAAGTATTCAAGTTCTGAAAATTGTTATTACTGAAACAGCGACACCAAAGTTTAAAGAAGAAGAAAAAAAAAACAGACAAAACAAAATTGTTTTATTCCATCCACTTAGACTAGCCTAAGGATCAGTTGGGAGGCCTACCTAGTGGGACCTGCGGAGGATTACCTGTGTTAAGTCCCATCATGGTGGACGACTTTCCGATGCAGGGCTTGATTGCCCTTTCCGTGTTGTTGGGCCCGCTGTTCCGAGTTCTTTTTCCCCTGGGCTTCGGGAGGGTATGCACCTCCCGTATGATGATGAGATCAGAAGCAGTTAAGCTAGGGCCCACACCTGCTGAGCAGGCTGAAATTGATCGTCGGCAGGCAGAAAAGAAAAAGGAGAAAAAAGAAAGAAAGAAAAAGAAAGAAGAAGGCCCAGATAGAAGAAGATTTGAAGAAGAAGTTAAAAGAAAAGTTAGAACAAGAATTGAAAGAAGAGTTACAGATTATTGAAGAAGAAGAAGAGGTTGAAGAAGGTGGTGACAGACTGGTCAGAAGGCTGACTGATAGGCCAGAGAGTAGTCAGACAGGTGGTGAAGTGTTTGTTAAACCGCTGGACTGGTACGACCAGTATGCCTATTCCAGCGATAGACTTTAAGAAACAGAAGAAGAGAGGGATGTGTTCGTTGCAAGACTAGCTACCGTTACAAACCAAAAAGAAAGAGATCTCATGCTTGAAGAAAAACGCGCCGAGCTGCATAGTAAAATGTTAGCAGCAAAACGGCAAGAACTTGACGAAAGAAAAAAATTACAAGCAGAGGGGGCAAGGCTGCAAAGTGAACTGCAAGCACAAAAAGATAAACAGGCAGCAACCGAAGAAAAGCTTGCCCTCCTGACTGAAACAGTCCTTCATACCAAGCAAGAAGTAGCCGCAATGAACCGGACCCTGCGAAAAGTTGAAAGCCATCAATATGAATTTGAAGGTGTCTGGAATACCTTTCTGCAAAAGTCCGCCCAAGACGTAGATTTGCACATTCAATCTTACATTAAAAAATTAGATGACCACATCACTCAGACCTTTACTCTAGCCGTAATTGAAAAGATAGTCCAAGGCAGCGGCGGAGGAGGAGGCGGTGATGGAGATGAGATGGAGGTGATGGAGATAGAAAAGGAAAGGGGGGTGCTGCGAGAAGAAGGAGCGGGACCAAGTAATAAGATTAAAGTCAAAATTTCATGGACTTATACAGGTAAGAAGGAGTAAAGTGTGTTGCATTGGATAGCGGTCGTCGAGTCCTATGTCTATGGACAACGAATTTCATATTGGGATAGAGTTCTGATGGCCACTTCATGCATGGCCGGCGATGCGATGAACTTCGCCATTTCGTTACAAAAGGAAGCAGGTTGCAGTTCGATGGTAGAATACTCTCAACAAACTCGCATCGAGGACTTTCTCAAGGCCGTCAGGGAAAGGTTTGAAGATAAGAATTTAGCACGAAGAACATAAATATTGATATTGAACCTTCCCGATAGAAAATGGAAAAGTACTTCAGCGCTTAAAGCGACCATGGATGAACTACTACAATGCAGTGA